AAAAAGCACTATGACAACAACAAACTCGTGTATAAAGCTGTAAATATTTCTGTTCTCCTGTGTATGCGTATGTATCACGTAGACAAGGATATGTCGGACATATCTTTCATATGCACGTTCACTGCATAGAATCTGAGCATACCAAATAAAAAGAACGAGGTATGTGGTGAACTTGATCCACAGTGACCCTATATTTCTCCCACGTAGTTATATCACTGCATATGAAGTACAATCACATATAATTTCTCCTGTGATGCATTAGCTCATAAAGTAGCACTTTTAGTCGAATGTCTGATTTCTACGGGTCTCTGAATATATATGCTTGTATGTTGAAGGCTGCGTCCAGCAAATCTGGACATATGGGGCAGGCGAATATCTCAGCGGTTAATACATCATCTGAGCTGCTAGTTGAACAGTGTCTTAGCTCGTGTCCCAAAATTAGTGTCCACGTAAGAACCCAATATGTCTAGATATGCTGGAGGCTGCCTTCAAACAAGCGCCTGATCTGCCTTCCCTGATGGAAAAAATTTGCGAATTTATTGATGTTGTAAGTTGAATCACAAGAAAAAAATCCGCGTTGATCTTGAAAGGGTATTCTTCAGTATGTGCCTCTTCAACCGTGTCGTAATCCCTTTCTAGCTACAAACTTTACTGTTGTTGTTTTTATTAGTTTTGAGGCGTGCTCTGTCAACAGATTACTCCTGAGTAAATTTTAGCGTTGATCACTGAGAGCAAATTATGGCCGCATGTCACGGTAACAAGATTGAATGATACGTGAGAAGCAACGAAGATACAAATAACCAGTAGGGAAATTAGTGCTAGAAGTCATCGGAGCCTTCATCAAAAAACGATAATTATGGCTTATCGGTCAGCAAAAATCATTATGCGCAGGTAGACAAAATTAAGGAAATCAAAAGACACTGAACAGTGACAATGTTCACATATGATGAAAGTAAAGAAAACGGGATGAAGCTAGAAGTCTAGCAAATAGATAGCACCGGAAGTAAAGAATAAAAAAACGATGTGTAACGTCACTCGAGGTGTGGCGATCTTCCGCAAAGTCTGCGAAGGCAATTGAGAAATACTGGGAGCAAGTAAGAGGAGTGAAATATTTCCATTAACAAGCAAGAAGATCTTGTCTCTGTGCCAGCACAACTAAATGTGGTCCAAAACAGTGAGGAAGAACTTCAGAGATGGCGTAGACCAGCGCCTTTCAGCGCCTGTCGTAGGTAAAGCGCAACATATATGTGTGTAAATACAGAACGCAGAAACACCGGGGCCGCGCAGGCTGGGAACGCATAAAAACAGAAAACAACGTGCGTTTGACAGCCGTTATCGGTTTGAGTGAGGCGATGTATTCATAGAAGGAGGTTGAACAATCACAATTCCAAGCGGAACATATACCCGAACAGTTGTACGCAAATATGGAGCAGAAACCAAAGAGATGTAAAATGAAAAGGCAAAGTCCCACGTAGAGAGGCAGACTCATGCGGGAAGGATCGCACAGGCTGGGATGACGTCATTTAAACGTGTAACCCAACTACCTAGGCGAATCGTAAGATTACGAAAAACACAATTCGAAACTCCGTGATATTTCATTTGGCGCAGATCGCTCGCCTAGAAGACGTGTTGGCGTGCTGTACAGAAAACTCTGGAGACGGGTGCGACCTGGTGGTACGGAAAGCAAGAAAGTTCGCTGAAGAAATCAAGTGCAGAAGCAGCAGTGAAGGTTCATCAGTCTTCTCCAAATGCTTCCGGAAGACGCTCAGGAATTGAAAGATCGGCTATATCTTTGAAAATCGAGTCGGTACGGCTTTCCTGAGATAAAACCACATACTAGATTACTTTATAATGTGTAGCAATTAGAGAAACAGACGCATACGTTTCTTGGCAAACTGATGGTGCGTGGTGACACCATACGACGCTGACTTCCTGCTGGATATCGTTTCCGTCTGAAAGAAATTGTTACTGATTGGAAACTGGTTGTCAGGACGGTCAACAAACCCTGTTCCTATCACATCAACCTTCTCGTCCTTCTCTTGTACTAGGTCATCTGCAGCTGATGGTTGCTCGTGCAGAGAAATGCTCCTAGTGTGGGGTCCTGAGATTCCCCACCCATAGCATGCCTTCTGCTCTGTTCGTAGGAACGTAACAGCGTCCTGAATACATTCAATTACACTTGGTGATTGTACACGAATTGCGATCTACTTACGTCCAAAGTTTCCGGTAGCGGCTTCTCACTCGTTTCGGGCAAGACACTGACCAGCATTCCGGCGAAGAGAGAAAATATGGCAAAGATGATCATTGGCATGATGGGCAAGGAATTGATTGACAACAAAGCGATGTACGAAGAGACTCCGGAGCCGAATCGTGCCACCTAAATAGCGATACATATTAGTCAGTAAAAGAATGAATTTGTGATTGACTCTAATCTAATTTAATCTACTACACGTTATTTTTTAGCAAGCTATACCTATAAGAGAAAACTGAAAAATTCGCATTACGTCATTAAAATTTCTTCGTTTCTGTGTTCTTGACAACAGTACCAAGTCCAGTGAGGGTGAAAAAAGTTATTTGCTATATCTGGATTTGTGAGGTAGGTGTTGCTTTTCAGATTTTTTCAAAGCGGCTGTAATTTTGAAATAGACTTTTTTCAAGTAGATTTCAATGGTGATATGATAGCAAAAAGGCCAATAATTTTTTCCCTAATTAGTACAAAAAAACGAAATTTTTCCCGACATATCATCAACAAAAATCAAGTGGGAGTATAGATCCTAAGATTCGCTCCATGTCACAGATGTCTGCTTCCTGCAAACATCGACATAAAATCGAGATTTGAGTGAACTAAAGGTAAATTTAGCATACTGCAAGTTTTTTGCATTCAAAGACCCGCCAAAGAATCTTGCCTCAAGTTTCAAAAGCGTATTCGAAGAAAAGAGATACATTTTGCTGGGTAACTTACCATGGATGTCACTCCTACTGCGGTATTGCGCACTATTGTTGGATATAATTCGGAGGTGAAGATATACAATATATTGAAGGCACCCT